ACAGAAGTTTTGAGGTAGGGTATGTAGTTCGTTTTAAGATCATTTAAAATAAGATCTTTTAAATTGTATCTAAAACATTATGTCATCTTTTTTAGAAAATGATGGAGGTTGGAAGTAACTTACAGTAGAATTATGAGGGTGGATTTTTTATTATTTTTTTCTATTTTTGTAACTATTAGAACTTTTATGGGTGGAGGTTGGGAGAAACTTTTAATAGAAATATTTTTAGGGAGGTTTTATTTTTTTTACTTTTGGTATTAGTACAACTTTTAAGGGTAACTGCCTTCCCACAACTGGCTGCAGACAGTGAAAGGCAGTAGGAGTTGAGACGTTGTGGGTATAAGCACTCAACACTGCACCCTTAGTTAATTTTCCATGACTGCTGGCTAGTTTTTCATCAGCGTTTGGATTTTGTCTGATAGATGGGATATCCCAACACTTTTAGGAGCTATTATCACAGACAATTACCATTATGATATCAAGGTTACAACTGGAAATTACAGTGGACTTTACAAAATAATTTTATGGCTTATCTTATATTAAGTTCATTATTGTTTATAGTACTGATTTTAATTGCCTATTAATAAGTAATGTAATTAATATGATAATAGTTTTGAAGCACACACACATTAGAGGTTGGCAAGGACCCAAGTCATATTTGAGTATAATCAAAGAAAACTTACAATGATTAATATTTCAAGTACACATTTAAACGTTGTATAAAGTACATACATTTCCTTTTTACAGATCTGTAAACTTGTCTAACATCTTTTAGTAAATCAGTCTCATCTTTACTGGGATGGCCACGGTCCCAAGCTTATAGCTGTGTTTTGTTATATTTTCTTTAAACTCTCAAATTAATAATCAGGCCAGGTAATCTAAGACCTAATAGTCACCCATGTTTTGAAGTACCTATACCAACCTATATTATAGATAGAATACATTTCTAAGAGCTTAGAAGAGAAAGAAAATGATTTGTATTAATATGTCGACTGCATTACGTTTGCCATTTTCAGTGCCGATGAGGCCTTTTGCCCGATACCAAGACTCATCAGTTTGGCTGGTATACAACAGACACAGTATTGATCTAGGTGTTATCTTATATCAACAAGTTTGTGAACAACAACTGTCATGATTTAAACTAGATTAAGCATTATATAATTTTATTTTAAGTCATTTACAAATCTGATTTGGTGTAAGTATTAATCAAACAATATTATTAATTAATTGATTTTAAACACCAATTATTTATTACTACCACTGAGATACGTATCACACTTTGATAAAACTTAACTTCCATCTATATACAAATTATTTATTGTATAATTAAATGTACAATAATAGTTGTTCACGGAAAAAATACCGAAGGATGGAACAAATAATTACTTTTTAAATACCTCATTTTGCTCTTTCAACCTTAACTCCACTTCTGAGGCTATTGTTTTGTAACGATCTGTTGTCCTCTGAGACAAAGCCAACTTCTCCTCAAGAACTAGAAATAAACTTTTTTCAGTGCTTCCTTTTTTTTTGTTGTTAATAAAAACACACAAAATTTCAAAGTATTTTTTTTGCTATCTGATTAAGATCCAACAGTTCCATCAAATAAGTTTCAAAATGTTTGGGGATGATACGTGCTTATATCTGAGAATCCATCTTCGGGCAAAGAAAAGCTTTTAACAACTAAAACATATTTCACAGACAACTGAGAAGACTCCAATATATCAGTAATCATCTAAAATAAACCCATATTTATCTCGAGAGAGATAAAAACCAAACGATTTCTGGTTCTTTGAACTGTCAAAGTACCAATATTTATAGGTCAAATTTCTGTTTTCATTCTTTGCTTCTGCAAAATGAAACAAGATAAATCATTCATTAATTTAAAAACAATATATTTTCATTATTTTCTTTAACTAAGTGAGTTAATTAATAAGACAAACCTTTAATTTCATTTTTCGCTTCTGTCAACTGTAAACGCAGATCCTTAGCTTCAGTAATTTCTGAAAACACACACAGAATTGAAAAAATAAAGTGAGCAAATATAAATCTTGAACATGCACGATGAAATTGTTTCTACTTAATATACACTATAATGTACATATTATACACGGTTCCTTTTAATTCCAAGATAATTTACTTCCCACACATCACCAATTCGTACATATAATACACGTTCCTTTTAATTCCAAGATAATTTACTTCCCACACATCACCAATTTGTACATATTATACATCGTTCCTTTTAATTCCAAGATAATTTACTTCCCACACATCACCAATTTGTACATATAATATATCGTCCTTTTAATTCCAAGATAATTTACTTCCCACACATCACCAATTTGTACATATAATACACAGTTCCTTTTAATTCCAAGAGTATTTTCCTCACAGACATCACCAAAGTATACATATTCCATCCCTTCCAGTCACTCCATAATGTTATACATCATCACTTTGGCTGTCTAGTTAATAAAATGACCTCATTTAAACATCCTAAGATAATAAAAGATGTTTTAAGTTTACTTCTGAAAAAGTGTTCACTAAACAACAATCAAGGTGAATAAAACCATACAAGAAAACTATTTTCCATCTTTTTTACTTTGTTGTACAAACTAAATAACAATGATCAGTTTCTTAAAACAAAGAAAAGCTAATTTTCTTGTGGCTGACTACAGTTTCTCTCCTTACTCACCTACTTCTGAATGTTTCATTTTGGATAATTTAGATTCTAATGCAGCAAATTTGGCATCCTTTTCTGTCACCTGTAAAACAGATTAAAATTGATGTTGAAAATCAACTTTTTTTTATTTCTTAAAATCCATAAAAGTCAGTAATATATTTATCTTTATAACACCTTTTTCATTTCCAGCAGTTTGTCAAAAACAAAAATTAGTTTTTTTCTGAATCTTAACAAAGCATAAATCATGAAATTATCTTTTAAAAATTGTTTTGTACTACAATAATTATTTATCATTTTTTTGGATATAACTTATAAACTCTTAGGGCTTAAAAAGGTTTGGTTGATGGACCACAAACATGTAATATTAATATCACTTCTCATGAACTTCTAATCAAAGCAAGTTACCTATGTAGATCAAAACTTTAGAAAAAAATCAACCTTGTAATAATTACTATACCTACTTTTAGTAAACTGTTCTCACTAGGTATATTCAAAGTCATAAAGCAAACAATTCAAAAAGATTGAAATGCACTGATTCATCAGTTGCTGTTAATGGCATTTTCTGCAGTAATCCCAATAATATATAAAATTCTTAGCAATACTGTTAAAGAAATGGTAGAATATAATACAAACTCTTAGGGTTTAGAATGATTCAGCTTGTATATCGTGACATTTAATATTACCATTTCTACTAAGGTTAAAACTGTTTATTATCCACTCTAGGTTTGCTGAATTAACAATTTAAAATACACCTTACTAGCTACCAAGCCAAAAAGAAACATTGAAAATTATACTCTACATTATGTCTTGAGCTTTTGAACTTCAACAATACTTTATACCTCTTGTTTCAACTGATGAACACTTGCATAAGCATCATCAAGGTCATCCTCTGCTTTCTTCCTCTTCACAACTTCCTCATTTACCTTCTCTTTCTGCTCAGCTAGTTGTTTCTAGAAACAGTTAAGTAAAGAGAACAATTCAATCAAACAAATAGAAAGATATCACACAAAGACAAAAACTTCACACCAAGACAGAAATCATATCAAGATAAAGACATCATATCAAGATAAAGACATCATAAAAAGATAAAAACTTCACACCAAGACAGAAATCATATCAATTTATCTTGATATGATTTCTGTCTTGGTGTGAAGTTTTTATCTTTTTATGATGTCTTTATCTTGATATGATTTCTGTCTTGGTGTGAAGTTTTTATCTTTTATGATGTCTTTATCTTGATATGATTTCTGTCTTGGTGTGAAGTTTTTATCTTTGTGTGATGTCGGATAAAGACATCTCACACAGATAAAAACTTCACACCAAGACAGAAACCATATCAAGATAGACATCTCACACAGATAAAAACTTCACACCAAGACAGAAACCATATCAAGATAGACATCACACAGATAAAAACTTCACACAAAGACAGAAATCATA